TCTAGTATAATCAAGGCTCATCATAAACATATCAAATGTTTTATTCTACTGTCTTAGTGCTTGCTTAAGCCTATGCATGGACTTCTTCAATTTGCACATAAGTCATTTTTACCTTCCTACAAGCCTTTCAGTTGTTTTACATGCACTTTTTCTTCAAGTGTCCCAAGCAAAAAGGCCATCTTCATATCTATTTGCTCGCGTTCTAAATTACATGTAACTGCCAACTCAAGCACCAACCTATTTGAAACTAACTAGACTACCGATGCAAACATTTCATCAAAGTTAATGCCTTGCTCTTATCAAATATCCTTTGCTCCCAATTATCCCCTATCTTTCCAAGCTTGCCATCGGACCCATTATGTATCTTGAACACCTATTTCCAACCAACCGATATTCTACCTTTTGGTAGCTCTACCAAATCTCAAGGTTTGTTTATTTGAAGAACCAATATCCTTCTCCCATAACTCTCTTCCGGTACCCGGAATCATTGCTTCCAATGGCTTCAACTTTCAAAGCATGCATAGTACTAGATAAGTTTTTGAAAACATGTGGTATTAAGAAAAGGGCAAGCTTTCTATGTTTTCCCTACAACATAAAATTTATATACTTCTCCTTATCCAACCATCCATTTTGAATGGAGGGCTAAGATTGCCCCAATCATAATGTCACGTCTCTACACTGTTTATTTTTAATATTTTGTATATAAATTATTTTTACACCAAATTTTGAGCGTCCAATCCTCTATTAAACATGCATTTGCAAAAAATATTAAAAAAATATTCTAAATAAAATAAAATTATCAAAATACCCTTGAAAGATTCAATGGGTATTTTGGTCATTATATTTTATCGAAAAATTATTTCTAATATTTTTTTATAGGTGCTCTCCAATGAGAAGATGACATCTACCAAATTTTATATTCACGAATTTTGTATAAAAATAACTGAAAATAAAATACTTTCAGGCGTCGGATCTAAGATCAAACGGTGAGTAGCTCACTTGATCAAAATTGGACGGCTGGATGGTAGGAAAAGCATAGATCTTATATATTGTAGAGGAAGTGTAGAACCGTTTCCCTTAAGAAAATGCCCATTTTATATTTTACGCATATGTTCTTTTTTGGTGGGTTTTCATTTTTTTTTCCCAATGCCCTCATATCAGAATTCCAAGTTATGGTCTAGGGTTGGCCAAGCTTATATTATAATGTAATATTATAATTTGATGATGTTTTATAGTGAATATTTAAAATAACAACATTACCAACAATAACAATAATAATAACTATTAAAATATGAACATTTTAGTTATAAAATAATATCATTATTACGAGGACTTGGAAAGAAGAAAAAGGGAATAGGCACGCGTTCTAATGAAAAAAACAAACTTTTTCAAAAACTCATTCCATATTTCCATCTGTAATTAAACTCTCTAGCTTTTGGGGCCTTAAGAATATACACATTACCTAGATTTGGAGGCTGAAGATCCATCCAAACATCCTAAGATGTCTTGTGTCCTGGATATTGAAAAGCAAATTTTACATATAAAAGGACACAAATAATCCCTAAGTTCCCCAATTGAGAGTTTTGCGCATAATAGTCAAACGTACAATTTGATTACACCAAACCACCGTATACACTCCCTTATTCTTTAATGGAGTTGGGCCAAATGGAAAAGAGCACGCATTAATCATTTTGCCATTCTCCGAAGGAAAAGTTTTGATACGGCTACAGCAACTTTATATTGTATGAGCAAAGTGCACCTAAAAACCCCACAAAGGAGGTTTTTTTTTTTTTGTGTAACTTTGTCATAAAACTTCAAAATCTCGACCTCGACATTTATAGATATTAAACAAAGGGGCTTTCTGGTCCTAAAAATAATTCATCTTCTAATACATTATCTGGACGGTTCAATTTCAAGATTTTCAAGTGTTTATAATCTGCTTGATCGTCATCATTTCTGAAACTTTAAATTTCATAATCGGCGACAATAATAGATTTTAATATCATTGCAAGGCTTTGAGGCACCAAAACTACATTCTCGATATAGTTTTGAGGTGCACCTTACTTCAATAGTATACGATTGATACCTTATACAAACCTCACCCAACAAGTAAAGCCTCAACTCAAAACATAGAAAATTGCAGCTTTAGTGTTGGAAAACCTTCAAATCGATCATCTCGGGCTTGATCATTATAGTTGTTAAAAAAAAAAACAGGGATTTCCAGCTCTAGAAATAGTCTATATATTATAATACTTTATCTAGATTGTCTATTTCCAAGTGTTCATGGATCCACAAAATCTGTACCATTTCTTTAGCTACAAATTTTGCAATCAATGGTGGAAATTGATTTTAGAGCCATTATAGAGATTTCCCATGCCTAAAGTGTTTTCCGGATGAAGTTTAGGGATAAGGTTTTACTTTTCTTTCGTAAGACTTAGGCCTCACAGAAACTGTATCCTTGTCCAAAATTCATCAGATGTGTGAAATGACCATCCTATTGTTTTTGGACTTAAAATATTTGTTTGAAGTTTGAACGGTCTCCATTGATCTATAGCTCACTAGTGTACAGGTAAATTGATGGGCAAGTATCATGCCGGGAGATTTGTTTGACCTCAAAACATGCTTCTTCTATAAGATAAGTAGAAAAGAAAAGAAAATCAAGATTTTAAAAATCACTGATCTCGATCGTCAAGGGAGGGCGGCCATGCCGATTCCCTCTACATCATCGGGAATCCGCACGATTTTCTCTATTTCAGGAAATAAATCATGGTTTTTATGATTTTTTGACAATTTGAAATTTAAATTATCAAAAAACATAGGAAAGATGCTCTATGCAACTTCCCTTTGTTCATTTTTGTTTTATTTTTATATTTTGCTTTGGCCAGTTCCGGCTGGTCAATTGGATGGCTGACCCAACCCGGCAAACTCCATTTCTAAAAGACATGGTTTCTATGAGTCCGTGTAGAAATGAGTCCCCTCCTAAAATTTTATTTTTGTGATGGATTTTTTAATCCAATTTTTAAAGACAATCTCTAACATGGAGATCATGAATAAAAATAAAATAAGACTTAAAAACAATGGTTTTATAAAAAAATATATTTGGGCACCGTTAGTTTCAACAGTTTTTAGATGGATCGTCTATTTGCTTCAATCTTTAAAATTATACCTTGGGGGGCGCAAATGTAGAAATGCGTCCCTGAACTCATGCAAAATTTCTTTCTAATTCTGATCAAAATTCATATAATGCATTTGCTGCAAATTAACCAACACTCTAACAACTCTGGATCGCCCAAATGTTGGATGACAGATCAATGAATCTTGACAGCTCCTTTCCCTTTCTAGAAATTGATCCCAAGGTCATTATCTACCAGGGGATCAAATAATTGGCCCTCAACTTTGAATGGCACATCTGTTCCACAATATTCAACACATATAAACCAGTGTTTAAAAAAGGGGTCGGATTGGTGACCTAGATTGCTCATCCCGAGAATCAGTCTGGATCATTGGTCTGGATCGGCTAGATTGGCCCATGGACTTAAAATTTTTCAAAACAAGTATTAGAATTCATTATAAATATTGTTTTTTTGAGTTTCCAAAGAAGAAAAATGAAGGTATCACAATGGATTTTTAATATGTTGCAACAGCAGATGAACATTGAGATGTTTTTGTATGAATGTTTATTGTTTTGATATTAATTTTTTATACGAATTTTGAAATAATACTTTTACAAAATTTCAAATCATTTCATAATTTTAAGTGAAGAAAGAAGGAAGGCAATGATTTTTTATATTAACTTTGTAATACTGATTGTGATTTTTAATACTAATTTTGTTTTATTTTCTTGGACGTTTTTATACTAATTTTATAGTACTACTTATGATTTTTATGAATACCCCTCCCCCGCCCCCTTCTCTCTCTCTCTCTCCCTCTCCCAAAATTGATCTTATTGAGCGGAGAAGAAAAATATTGAGCACACAACCTTATGAAATTGTATACAATGAGACCATTTACTTTAGATACAAGTTCACAATCAACATTGACATTTAGATTTGAAATCGGTGCTTGGAGATGTGTCATTGTTTGTACACATAGTCCAAATAAAATTTTCGACTTTCATTTATTGAATTTTACATCCTAAAAGAGATTGTGATCTCTTTGTACCAAAAATAAATGACATCATAATATACTATTCCTACATTATATATAAAAAAGAAAAGGAAGAAAATGAAAACAAGTAAAAAGAAAAGGAAGGAAAAAAACAAGCAAATCTGACATTGAAGTAAAATTAAGTTTTGTTGAAGCGGTAGAGTGAATGTCCTACTTAAAATAGAAAGATTAAATGTTAGTGTTTTATTTGAGGTTTCATTTAAGGCTTTAAGCAAGCGACTAGAGCGAATCAGACCCAATGAACTAAAACAGGCTGCAAAGTCATGAGGGAGAACTTTTAACAACTTTTCTTGGAGTAACCCACAAAGCCCAAAGGGCTCAAGAAGTTTACACTTCATCTTGAATCATGAGGGAGAACTTTTAACAACTATTCTTGAAGTAACCCACAAAGCCCAAAGGGCTCAAGAAGTTTACACTTCTTGGTGGTGGTAGATGGGGAGGTTGTAGAGAGGCAGGCTGATATGGGTTTTGGGTGGCGTAGAAAATTGTAGAGAGAGAATTTGAGAGGAGAGGATAGATGTGGGCTTGTTGGGTTAGAGTACACAGAGAATGGGAAGAGGAAATGAGGGGAAAGGTAGCCATGGTTGTTATATGATAAAACAATTAAGTTGTCCAAAAGAATGAGTGTATGATAAAACTGAAAATACTTAAAATGTTTTATCCCATTGAAAATGCTTAAATGTTCTAATGTATGTTTTATCCCATTGAAAATACAAAAATGCTTTATAAACCAGACCGGTCCCATCAATTGGCATTTTTCGAGACCTTAATATAAACCACCCTTTCTCCTTAAAAAAAGAAGAAGCTGACACCGTACTTCCAAGCCATGCATGTAGGAAGAAATAAAGGTGCACTACAGCAGGGAGAGCGTTGCTTGCAATTATATGAGGATAACAACAGTTTACAAGTAAGAAATGCCGATTCTCTTTTTTATGAACATTATTATGGAAAGGTACATAAAAAGAAACATCACTGATTATTATAGTATTGAACTGCAACAATATGAGCATTGCTACTCATAAAGCTTTGCAACATGGACCTTGCAAGACCATGATGCCCTCTGAATTTGATCAACTGGCTTCTACGAGGATAAAGAGTGGTGTGCCTTTCAACTTGTCCCGTCCCTGTTTCAACAGAATAGCTAATATTACATGTAAAAGACATAGAAGGAGCCAATTATAGAGGCATAGTCCATAAAGATAAAAGAAATTAGGACGAGGGAGGGCGAAGAAGAGGAAAACAAAACTAAAGCAAGACAAATAAATTCTGTTACTTGTAAAAGTAAATTAATTTTTCCCCGCCAGAGGAAAGTTTCAAAAGCCAGTGTGAGTTCCTAAGTACCAGCCACCAAGAGAAACAGGGTCTCATTTAACAGTTGAATATGTATGTGCAGTATTTCCATCAGGCCAAAATATCTATGGATGGAGCTGTCCGTTCCTACAGAAATGATGGAACCCCCAAAAGCCATCCAATTGTTGGATGATTGCTCATATTACAACTACGACGTTGGATGGTCCAGTCATTAGAAGCAAACTACAATTTTAAGAGCTCAAATTCATTTTTTTTGTTCTTTTTGGAATTGATTAAAAGGTGAATCAAGAGCTGTTTGCAAAAATTCAGGTCCTATAAATTCACCTAACATGGATTTTGGGGGCTCTATCGAAGCTGTAGAATTGGGCAGCCATCCATTGGTTGTTTATCTTTTCCATTACTCAAACCAATATGAAGGACAAACTCAAAATTATTGGTGAAAATGTTGTGATGGAAAAATACATTGAGAAAAAGGTGAGGGGTTTTCATTTCTGTAATCATGCTGAACAAAAATACAAGGTTGCAAGTCATTTCACCATGAACGCAAACACTATCGAATATGCAATGGAATCCTACGCATGAATAAATCCATAAAAAAACGAACTTTGAAGATTTGAACAAGGGCTAGTATTAGAATTAGTATTTTTATTCTTGAGTTTGTATATAGAACAGTTGCTGGGATCTCGCAACTTAGGACATCTTGCTCAAGAAAGTGATCTTCAACGGATTTCGATTTTTAAATTTCGGGATCTCAACTCCAACCTCAAGGACCAAGATAACAACTAAACTGATGATTTTCTTTATCAGCCAGCTAGCAATGCAACTTTTTTTTTTAATATAATTGCATGACTTACTGGTTATAAATAAGGGGATCCCTACTTTAAACAATGTCCTAGGCTATACTCCTTGAAAATGGAAGCAAAATCCCCAAAAGGTTGGGACCAAGATCCAAAAGGTTCAGATTGAGATATCTAATATCTGGGGATCTCAATTCCTAATATATGCCTTCTACATACAACGCTCACAACTGTAAGGATTTTCTAGCCTTTCATGATCCCCTGCTACTGCTCTTGATAAGGGATCACTTGTAGTTTGTAACAAAACATTTATTTCATTGATACAAACTTGCGTCACAAAAGCAGCATTACAATGATTTAATTGAAATGCGAGATTAATGTTACATCTGCAGTTCAGGAATAGTCCTTGTGGTGAAGACATGATAGCAGACTAGTGAAGCTCATCATCTCTAATGCAAACCAAGACAGTGAGGCAAATGTGGAGGATTAAAAAATTGAGGTCAGCCAGCTCTAGATGGTGTATCCAATATAGCATATGGTCAACTAACTGGGGAGCTCTTTATCTCATTATCACTAAATCCAAACTCATATAGATCACATTTCTAGTGAATCCATGAGTGATCTAAGTCAACACCACCTCTCTAATGCAAGGTTTTCAAAAACAAACTTGGCCCTGTACTCTCCTGGTTCGGAGTCTAGTCCACTTAGGTAAGAGTTTTGTATGTCTAAGCCGGATCTTCAAGAAACTAAAGAAATACGAAATCTCATGAGATCAAACTGACTATTTCAGGACTCTGAAAATGGTGAGTCAAGTCAAATCGGATGAGCCCTGAAGCAATATGCCAGATTCTAAAACAATGTCCTAAAATCCATAAGCATTATTAGATATACATGAATATTAACTGATAGAGGACTTTGTGTAAGATATGCCATTGTAATAGCTATTCATTTATGTTACCAAATGATTGGCAGTACAATAGATTAGAAGAGTTATTTAGCACTTCATTGTACTATTGGACCAGCAAGAAACAAACAAGTGCATTCACATCTAGCACAGAAGATAAGGTGGTATTGATTAATCTGGTGTATGGTAAATTACTGCAAACCCATGATCCAATTGATACAACTGTCTCCTGTTATTGTCATTGTATGATAATTACGAAGAGGAGCCTTTTTAACAAACACAAACATGATTGGTTAAATAGTTTACTCTTAAACACTACCATTTTTTACTAATCATCTTAGTATTTTCTATATCAGTCCCCAAAGAATGAGATACAGAATCAACTGCAAGATATAGGCAAGATACATACCTTCAACTCTGGCAATTCAATTATGCATGCACATTCAAACACCTCTGCCCCAACACGTTCTGTAAAAACAAAGTTCTATCAGAGACAATAAATACCGATGCTCTTTTTTTTTTTTAACCATTGAAAAACAGAATATCAAATTCACATACACACAGGATATGTAATACCATATTCAGCCAGAAAACAGTTCAGCTTCAAAGGAATATACCAATGTTGCATCAGTAGAAATGTAATCTAGCAAACCCAACAGAACAGAATCAACCATAGCAAATATAATGTGTTTCTTCCAGGAGACAGAAACAAATTAAAGGATAATTACCCAAAAATAAACAGAAAACGGACATAAGATTGAGCCTTATATAAAGAGCTCAAGAGACGTGCTTCAAGATGTAGAAATCATGTAGCCAGTGTACATATCCCAAGATTGGATGAAGTTGATCAAAGATCCTTGAACCCTTTTGTCCAGAATCTCGCTGGAAACACTAGCCACCAGCAATTACAAGCTTAACCCAATTCCCCTAGTAAACCTTCAGTGGAACCAAACCCATTTGCCTCCTAAAACCTCCTGAACTTGGCATTCTCAATAGGTTCAAACGACTGTATTCCAAAAAGACCAAAATCTTAAATTTAGAGTGAAAAAGAAATCCTTGCCTTTGGAAGCCTTCCAAAAACCTCTAAAGCAACTAGTCACTTGCAACAACTGGTAGACCTGTTAGCAGTTTTCTTTGAATCCATCTAAAAGTTTTTCCTCAAAGTTGGCAGCAAAACTAGATTGAACCAACCTTAATCTGTGTCATAACCTTTATGACTTCCACATGGCTCTAACCATCTAGACCTCCCAACTCCATTTAATCCTTATTAGAACCTCCAATCTGAGACTACAGTACCCTCTCCCATCTATTCAAATTTTTTCAAAAAAGAAAAGAAAAGAAAGAAGATCCTGGAGAAAGAGGTTTGAGGTCTAAACCCTTCAAAAAACCAAGGCAAACATAGCAAAAGTCCTTAGAAACTTGCTCAATCCCGTTCAAGTTTCTCAAGCCTATCTTTGTTTCTTCAATCCCATCTCTCTTGCAACCATTTTGGTAATAAAATCCTCACCTCAAAGGAGGAAGAGAACGTTTGGATCAAACACCAAAGATAAACTCAATTTTGTCGACACCAAGAAGACACCTCGTTTCCTTCTAAGCAGCTGCCAGGTGGGGACGTTGCCACTTAGGAAAGGGCCCCAAACATATATATATATATATATATGGAAAACTCTTAAAAATTCCTATAGGCAAAATTGAATAATGTGTCAACCCGGCACAGATCTACAGGAGCTGTGGGTGTTTCCCGTATCTACAGGAGCTGTGTGTGCGCGTGTGTTTCCCGTATCTACATGAGCCGTATCTACAAGAGCCGTATCTACATGAGTCGTGGCTACAAGAGCCGTATCTATAGGAGTCGTGGTTGTTTCCCGTATCTACATACATATACGTATACTACATATACGTATACTACATATACATATACTATATATACGTACATACATATACTACATATACATATATTACATATACATACATACATATATAAGCGTCTACTACATATACACCATAAAAATATATTATATGTAATAAACGATGCATTGAGACTGGGGTGACATCGGTTGATATATTCATAGACACCTTTGAGAAACCCTTAAGGAAAGGGTCATTATATATTGATGGAATAACCACGATATATGCTCTCGGTTCAATCACATAAACTAGTTGAAATTGCAGAAGTTCAATCATATAACACTGTTGAAATCGCCATAGCCTAGCCCTATAAGGAAGCATCTTCGGGATGAGCATAGGATCCTATAGTCAAACCAATTACTTCACCGATCGGTGCTTCCTAGAGCCCTTCATCTTTTTCTTCATCAAAGAACAATTCAACCACGAATCTTTTTCATCATCGTAGATTTGATCTCCTACGTAGTCTTGTTCTTCATCTGACTATGTGTCGAAGATTGGTGGCAAATTCTAATCTACAACCTACTGATTTTGGATACAATTTGCGTCAAAATCAGGAATGTCTACCTTCAAATTGAGAGATGTCCCTCACGTTTAGGTCTTCTATTACTTTCCTCTTCACTCGACTCCTCACGTGAAGCACAATAGTGAAAACGGTTGTACTCGACATCTTCTTTAGTATAGCATCCCTCCAAAGTTCAAACTTTGCGTTGAAACCTCTTCTAGTCCCATCTTTCAAAATTATCTCATATGCGAACAAAATACACCATGGTATGTCAACAAGTAGATGCCTAGATAACTCATCCATGACCAAAACAAAGAGATATGGCTTCAATGCTGACCCCTAATGTAGGCCTACTGTCATTGAAAACTTACTTGTCTCTCCACTAGTTGTCCTCACTCTAGTTAGCGCTCCCTCTTACGTATCTTGTACCATGTGAACATGTCCTTTAAAGATTCCTTTCTTTTCCAACACCCACCAAATTAACTCTCTAAGTACCTTACCACATGCTTTCGCTAAATCAATAAAGATCATGTGGAGGTCTCTTTCCTTCTCTCTGAACTTCTATTAGTTAATGAAGTAGGAAAATAGCCTCAATTATTGACCTCACTGGTATAAAACTGAACTAATTTTCAGATACATTCGTTTCATGTTCTAGTCGTTGCTCAAATACCCCCTCTCACAGCTTCATAGTGTGGCTTATAACTTTAATCCCTTGATAGTTTCTACAGTTCTCTATGTCTCCTTTAATCTTGTAAATAGGTACCACACTACTTTTTCTCCATTCCTCTAGCATTTTCTTTGTTCTCAATATCTTGGTGAACAACTTGGTCAACCAAAATATGAAAATCTCTCCCATGCACTTCCAAAAGTCTATCACGATACTAACAGGTCCTAAAGCTTATATCTAGGGGGTAGGTGTTGGGGTTCATAAATTGGAACTATTTTAGATGTAACATGGGGTAATACTACAAAGGTATTTGGCAATTTTTACTCTCTTAAGCAGCTTGATTGTAATATTGCCAATAAGGGAGACCTAGATTGGCCAACTTGAAGTTCCAAACTATCCCTTTTCACTGGGTGGAACGCCCTTTCTCTGAAAAAGTGATCACAGCAGCCATCGAGCACATGGGCAAAGATAAAGCCCCTAGCCTCGATGGATTCCCAGTTGCCGCATTTACAATTTTTTGGGACACCTTCAAGGCAGACTTCCTCAATTTCTTTGAAGAATTCTTCCACCGAGGAATCCTTCACAACACCACGTTCATTGCTCTTTGTGCCTACGATTGAAGAGGCAAAGGAGTTGAAGGATTTCCAATCCATCAGTTTGGTCATTCTACCTACAAGATCCTTTCTAAAGTTTTGCCTTCTAAGATGAAACAAGTACCTCCCCTAGTCATTTCCCCCTCTCAGAGTGCTTTCATCAAAGATAGGCACATCCTGGATGGGGCTCTGGTGGCACACCAGTGCTTGCACTCAAGACACCTTAGCAAAAAACTGGTTCTAATTTTCAAGATAGAGGGAGAAAGCTTACGACCATGTAGACTGGTCAATTCTGGAGGAAACCATGTCTAGAATGGGGTTTGGGGCTCGTTGGAGGAAATGGATGAGGGGATGCTACTCCAACCCCTCCTTCTAATCAATGGTTCACCAAAGGGCTTCTTCCCTTTCTCTAGGGGTCTCCACCAAGGGGACCCCCTCTCCCCCTTTCTCTTTGCCATCTCTGCGGAGGTGTTCCATTTCTTGCCTATACTAGGTGGGACTCTCTCTAGATTCAATAGTAGTACTCAAGGCCCTATTGTGCCCCACCTACAGTACGCAAAGGACACGTTCGTCTTCCTAGATGCTACCTAGGTGGAAATAGAAAACCTGAGGTTGTTTCTCAAATGCTTTGAGTATGCCACGGGATTTAAAGTGAACATAGAAAAATCCAAAGTGATCGGGGTTGCCCTCTCCAACTCTGAAACAAGAGCCCTCATTCCCAACTGGGAATGCAAAGTGGAGGACCTCCCCACTACCTACCTTGGTCTACCTTTGGGTTTAAGGAAACTTAAGAAGAGGCAGTGGTCATGTTATAGATAAGGTAGACAGGCGACGGGCAGGGTGGAAAGGTAGGTTCCTATCTTTCACAGGTAGGACTACGCTCATCAAAGCCACCTGGCTAACTCCCCGGTCTATCTCATGTCTTTATTCCAAATGCCCGCCTCGGTAACTAGACGCCTGGACCAACTAATGAAGAACTTCCTTTGGTCTGGAGAAGAGGAGTCTAAAAAATTTCACCTCAGCTCCTGGGACAAAGTTTGCCTTTCGAAGCACCAAGGAGGACTTGATATCAAGACTTTGAGGAAACAGAATAGCACCCTGCTCGGGAAGTGGTGGTGGAGACTGGCTATCCAGAACAACTCGCTTTGGGCCCACGTCATCCGTTGCAAATATAGAATTTTGGCAGACCTATGATGCCCTGAGGGAAGATTTCCGAGTAGGGCCTCTGGAGCTTGGAAGTCTTTCCTGACTTCTCTATCTCTTTTCAAGCAATTCATCCGTTTTCTTCCTAGGGAAGGAGCCAGAGTGCGATTCTGGTCTCACCTTTGGTTAGGCCACACCACCTTACGGGACATATTCCCTTGTCTTTTCTCTCTCGCCTCCAACAAATCCTCCACCATTGCCGACGAGATGGTAATTTCTGGAAATCGTAGGGTCTGGAACCCCTCCTTCAGATGCCCTCTTTTTGATGACAAAACTGTGGATTTTATTGCATTATCGGCCTCCCTACATTCCACCTTCCTCGCTCTCTCAGGGACAGACACCTTGGTGTGGACCCCCTCCCCTTCTGGCTCATTCTCGGTAGCCTCCTTCTATTAAAGACTCCAACAACCTCCAACCTTCCCCCTCAATCCAACCTTCCTCCCCTTCTGGCTCATTCTCGGTAGCCTCCTTCTATTAAAGACTCCAACAACCTCCAACCTTCCCCCTTAATCCAACCTTTGTCCTATCGAAGGTCTAGTCTACTATTGCACCTGCTAAAGTACAAGCCTTTAATTGGATTGCTTTCTCAGAAAGG